AGTGGGATAATTTACTGTAGAAAGCATTCAATTTTTGAAACCAGAAGCGCCAAAATGTCTATCTGGCTGTCTCCATTCGACTCGTTGATGTGGGTCTTCTTACTTGTATTACTCCCTCTACAAGCCCTAAATAGTTTGTCGCTGGATGCACCACCCAGTAACCTTGTAGATATCTACACTTACCAAATGTATGTCCTGATTTCTATCCTCTTTCGCAACGGGGTCAGGTCTTATACCGAGCGGTTTTTCTTGTTTGGTCTGCTTAGTCAGCTAATTCCGCTTCTGTACGAATCCATAATAACAGGAAAACTTCTGGTTCCCATGGCGCCAGACAAATTCCAATATATTACAGACTTTGTGCGGACCTCTTATACAATAAAGTACGATGTGGAATCTCATATTCAAAATATTTTACAATACGATCCAGGAATCCGACACGAATTTAAAAAATGTGGGGTACTTGACAAAATTAACGTGACATTTGTCTTAGAGAAGTTCAGCCTGTTACAGGACTATTTCGATAATGGCGGGGGCACCAAAAGTATTTTGGTGGCGGCTCTCGCGGACGAGCAAAAATTACAGGGATATTACACCCCATCTAAAGATAGGGACCAACTACTGTTTTCCCAACAACTTGAGAGCGTCGTGAGGAAGGTGAAACATCAGCATAAGTGTCATTTGTTCAATCGGGGATATTTCGTACCACTATTGGTATTTCTACACGCCACACCGCCACCTACTCGTGGCAGTGCACAACTCGTTACACAGTTCTGGAATTTACGACATGTGGGAAGATAGTGTGTTCAATACAGAAAAAATTGTAGGGGCAAATCAACAAGCGAAAGATAACAATAGTACCATTGAAGCAATAGAAGTGATCAAGTTGGCAAATTTGGAGACGTTTTATACCATTTGGTGGATTACTTTAGTAGTGGCCATGGCTTGTTTTTTTCTCGAACTTGGTAAAATCCTTGCGGAATCTTGTGCATATTGGTTTAAGGTGGTGAGGCTTATGGCGAGGATGTATGCAACTAAAGAGTTTAAAGCCATGTTATAAATTATTAGCTCACCCTGCAGAGGAGCTATTGAATACCTCTTGTCCGTCTGTCTGTCTGTCTGTGTGTTAACGACTCTTTTGCATCAATTCATGCTAATTAGAGCCAGTTATTGGCATCCTTGACCGAGTTATTAGCACCACTGATATCGAACAATCGGCGACTCACAATGGTGCCAAACAATTGAAGGAACAGATGCAAAATGCACGAAAAGTGCATAAGAACCGGAAGAAATAACTATAATTTTTACTTCGAATTTGTCAAAATTTCATGTCAAAATTATGGTTGATTTTCCCTGGTTTATTTTCCACCATTGGTGAAAAATTATATCACAATTATGTGTATCTTTTGTCCGCCTATTCTGCACCATTAATGCAAAATTATGCCAAAATTGCCTATCTATTTTATCCGACAATTCTGCACCATTGGTGCAAAATAATGTCAAATAAATTCTACAGGGTGAGCTAATTCTAACGTTACAACGGTTTATTATACATATATACGTATTTATTTTTAAACTGTTGAGCCCAAACATTGCTGAAGTATGTATTGAGATAATGGTTGAGATGGATATAGGGTATGCTAGGGCAACTATCTGGGACCAATGATACCTATATAAAATAAATTAAAATCTGGGATAAACTGGAATTTTGCTATATCGAGTTGGATATTACTTGTTTGTTTTCTTTCTTTTGAGGGGGTGCACATTGTATTATTGGACCGCCCAGTGTTGCAAAAATATCTGGGGGTGTAACCCTATCAAAATATATATATGTATAACAGGGGGATCCAAACGGATATATTTTCAGGCATATTTGTCGACCACACCGGACACAAACGAGCTTGTCCAACTGGTTCTTAAATTTTGTGCCGTGAATGCACTTAAAAATTGTCAAACTCTATATTTTGTAATAACTTCAAAGTAGGAGTTTTTGAGAAAGTTCGAGGGGGTGTAACTGTGGGGACGGCAGGTACCCGACAGACCTTTCTGCCTAGGGTTGTAGTGCCGTCCCATTAGAATGAGAAATCGTAAATATCCTGGTCGGGTAGCTGCCATACACCTGGTTACACCCCTTCAAAGTTGCCTAAAAACGCAGGTTTTTGGGTATATAAACGGCTATATCTTGGCGGGAAAATTTTTTAAATCTTCAAAACTATCAATCTAGAGTCAGTATGAGTTTCTGATTACAAAATATAAAAATATAAAGACCACACCCCCTGGGGGGATAACTCCCCCCACAGGGGGTGTGGTCGACAAATATGCCTGAAAATATATCCGTTTGGATCCCCCTGTTATACATATATATATTTTGATAGGGTTACACCCCCAGATATTTTTGCAACACTGGGCGGTCTAATAATACAATGTGGGGTGTAACGGTCATAGCTCGCAATAAATTGATCCGGGGTCCATCGATGGACCATCTGAAAAATGGTCCATGGCCCATTGCGAGCTGCGGTGATCACATCGGGTGACAGTTTTCGTCACCCATTTTACCACAGGTTGAACAAGGATACCGATTTATTACCAAAATATTTTGTAATTAAGTTTGAGAAAATTTGATTTCGTGTGTATAAAAACTCATATTTTTTGTTTAGAGCTGGGATAATCGACAAGTACATACATCCATTTGAAATTGTACTCCTCACCTGCAAAATGACACTGGGATATTTATGCTTTTATACACGTTTTAATAAACAATTTAATGGGTGTCATCGATCGGTTAAAGTACTTATGCATTGTGACATGAAAGTAATTAAAGTTGCGAGGTAGAACAAAGATGTAAGCGGTATTTATTCCTAGGGTTGGTCTATCCGATCCGAGAATATCCGATCCGTCGGATCGGATCGGATAATCATCGGATCGGATCGTAAATAAAAATATCCGAGAGCTTTCGGATCGGATCGGATAAGATGTTTTATCCGATCGGATCAATCCGACGGATACTTCGGATATCCGATCGGATATCGGATAATCTGTATTTACTATAATTCCGCAGTCTGGTGGTGACTTGCGAAATTATTCTCCCTTAAAATGCGTAGATTCAAATATTGTCACAACTGACAACTGTTTAGCATAATTAATTAGTGTAATTTGTTGCAATTTCTTACTATTTTTAACTAAAGTATCTCACACATCAAGATTTTATGTAATACGCATTCTAGTTTTAACATCAGGTAATTAGATAATGCTAATTAATTGCTTTACGTATCAATTGAAGCGAAGTTATTAATTACTTATTACAATTACATTACCATAAAGTACTTAGAGCACATTATCAGTTAAAATACTGATTAATTTTGCCTTGAGTATTGTTGCATATAGTTAAGGAAGTAATTAATTACAAAAATAATTGTTATTAATTACATAACTAATAATAATTACGTCATTTTGTAATTAATTACTACAGCACTTAGCTAAATAAGTTAATTATTCATTAAAAACATGAATCATTAACGGATTTGATTGCCTTTTAGAAATGGTCGGATCATTATCCGATCCGATCGGATATCCGTCGGATTGCTCGGATTCGGATCGGATTGGCCCTGATATCCGATCGGATTATCCGACATGATGAAATATCCGATCCGATGGACTGTCTATCCGATCCGATCCGATCCGTCGGAAAACCAACCCTATTTATTCCCAGGCAAACTTTGCCAGTAATGCATTCTGATTAGTAAATATCCCACATGCCGGCTAAGATTCCCGTTAAATTTAAATTCTTTCCGGCACAGAGCACACGGATATCGGACATGATTATACGCATGATAAGTAGCAAAATGTCGTGCGACGTATGATTTATTTGCAAATGTTTTATCACATCCGGGAAACTTGCAGGGCAGCCGGGTTCGTTGGATCGCATGGGTTTTGAAATGTTCCTCCAAACCTCCCTTACGTTTAAACTTTTTTCCAAAATGCCTGCACGGGAACCGGACTGGAATTTTGTCGTGTTCGGCATGGATGTGGCTCGAAAGTCCTGTGTACGAAATGTGTACGAAACGTTGCAGGGCATTTTAAAAATGTGCAGTTAAATAATTGCCTTCGTACGCCCGTTGTGTGGACGTTCTATACGTGTCCCTGCAAACCTTGGACTGTTTTAAAAATTCGGGTACAGAATTCACAGCTAATGTGGGACGGTTGGCGTGCAAAGTCAGGTGTGCTTTGAGGGAGCGTGAATTTTTCATAGTTTTCCCACAAACCTGTGGAAGTTTGTAATGAATTAAAACCGTTTTTAAAATTTTGTAAATTGCACGATATTTAAAAACGTACTGTGCAGTTCACTTGTGGAATTGCATCGTGACTCGTGAGATGCCTACCAAGTAGGGCTTCCCATGAGATGAGACGTCTCATGAGATTTGAGATGAGACGAAATATGAGACGGAATATTTCGTCTCGGTTAAACTGAGACGAGACTTGAGATGAGGTGAGACGGCCTTCATCCCATCTCGTCTCATCTCGGTCTCGCCGAGATTTCACAACACAAGCCGAATTTACGAGTAGGTAGGGTTTAAGAGTTTATATCTTTCAAAATTTTTAACTTACGGACAAATTTTACTATTTCTATCCCACTACGTACTGGAAAACGTAGTGGGATAGTAGTATTTAGTAAAATTCGTCCTGGTTTCGTTACGATGAAAAAGTAGTGGTACCAGATGAATCAAGATGTTTTCACCTACCTATTTAAAATTCATGGAGGCTTCATTAATAAATGTACACCAAACTTTGCATTTGTTAAAAAAATAACTTATCAAGGTACAGTAAGCGAATGAGTGCATTATGTAGTTTTGGTGGTAAGACTCCACCTACTAGTACGGTATAGCATTGACAGAATAGAATATCGCTTTTCCATTCTGTCCCACTAGGAACACAGATTCTCAACCTACAAACTTACCCAGGAGAAACTCATCTGTTCTCAGTAAAAAGTTAACAAATATTTATAAATCAGGTCAAACTGATGTGATTTATTTAAAATTAATTTTGTATTTATTAATTAAAGGTAGCTCAATTAGAACAATTGTGAAATTTATGTCTGTACTCAGTCCATCCAGTGCATTTTGTAAAATTAAAGGATTAACTAAATCGTTGGATGTGTAAGGTGTGGGTAATTATGATATTATTAGAGCAACCATATTTTGATTTAATATATACAACTTAATTTCTGCCTTAGATATTTGTTGAAGCAAGGAAAAATATGACAAACTGTTTCTTTGGACTCCGAAATTTGCAGCGCAAAATTTCGCACAAATAATAATAATGTAAGTGTTGCTAAAAATCTTTATGGATATATAGGGGAACGAAATGTTTTATTGTAATTTAATTTAGTTGAAAAACAAATTCTTCAAGTGTGGACGGGGATTATTGACGATTACCATAGAAACATTTTTAATTAATAAGCTGTAAATGCTCGACACTGACGAGTGAAAATCAGTTAAATGGATTCTGAGGGAAATTTAGAAAAAGAGACAACGGTAAGCAAACTAATCTTATCTGAAATTGCCAGGTTTCGTCTTGGTCTTATGCAAAACGAAGAAAGTATCCAGCCGTCAAAGGTCGACGACCTTTAAACGTTTTATATATAGTGACATATGACCCCACGTGTTATTAAAATGCTAACAAATGTTTATATTCTAAATGTATTTTTAGGAGCTTGTGGAAACTCAAACTGACACATTCTCCGATAAAACCTGGACTGAATTTCCTAGGCTTACGATTTTTCATGACAACCTAGCAGATATTCCCCCAGTATTGATGCGATTTCTAATTAAAGGCGAGTATGCTCAGCGTAATTTGGACGAAATAAGGAGATACCAATCGTCTCTCCACTTATTGAAGAAACGCTGTGAGTTTATCATGCCGACCCTACATTTCCAGGAGGGTATCATGACCAGAAAATCAATTAAGGGGTGGCACTCAGATTTCGAAGAGGCCGACAGATTTGCCAAATACAAAGACCAGAAAGATTTTGACATGATCCTTATCGGCTCGCCTGCCTTCGAACAGCACCACCCCCTCCAAACGTGGATAGCTAACCACTCCCACCACACCCACTTTACCGATCCTACCGAAGCTCTGGAAATTTATCAGTACCAGATAGCCATTTTAAGAGGGCTAGTTGACGGCGTGAAATTTCTCCATCAAAACGGAATTATCCATGGGGAGCTAAATTCGAACAATTTAGTCTTTCAGTGGAACAACGCGCAAAAATATTGTCTCCCAGTTCAAATAATTCATACCGGATTCGGACCAAAATTCGTGGCACCCGAGTGGAAATCGGGGGACGTACTTACGAAAGAGGGTGACCTGTATGCTATGGGGTTTCTAATAAGGACGATTGCCTTTTTGGTGAATCCTGACAAACACGGGAGAACGTATTCGTGGTCACGTTCTCCATTTGTCATGATGGGATATGGCGATATGGAACATCCCATTTTAATAAACGCGGGTAATCTTGTCAAATCGTTAGTAAGTGAGGACATTCAAGAAAGAATTACGCAAATGGAAGATGTAAATATAGAAATATCCGAGGAAATTTCCCAACTACCTAATTCCGCCGTCAGAGCAGTTCAACTCACCCGGGATCATGATTTCTTTAAGAATATTAAAATCGAACAAGAGCTCGGAAGAGGGGGTTATGGTGTCGTGTTTCAAGCACAAAATATAAAAGTTGGACTTCAAAGTGCAGTTAAGATACTGCAACCCTTAGGCCCGGGACAGGTCTTATCTTCAGTTACGCCGCTACTCTCGGAAAAAGAAGATTTGGTGGATGAATTTCGAAAATGCGAATTTCTTTACCATCCAAATATAGTGAGATTGTTCCAGTTCGCGTTTATGCAAGCGAGCAGACAGGAATTGGCTTCATTTTTTCCAGAGGATTCCGAAGAAGAGACGATTGAGAGACTAAAACCAGTCGGAGACCTGGAGTATGAGCTGCCATGCTTGGAAATGGAATTATGTGGCCTATCCTTGAGATCTTGGTTGGACGATGGGAAGATTGACGCAATTGAAAAATCTAGATTGTACATTGCGCAGATACGAATTATCCACGGAATCATTGAGGGGATGAAATTTCTTCATTATAAAGACATCCTTCACAGAGATCTAAATCCAAATAACGTGTTTTTTAGCGGTGGGAGGTATGAATTTCCAGTTAAAGTCGGTGATTTCGGATTATCTCAAATACTCTTTGCTACCGTCCCAAATAGCAAAGATAATACGCAAGGTCGAACAGATAATTACAGTCTTACCGAAGGTATCGGGACCTTTGCTTACCGAGCACCTGAAATTAGTGATGGACATTATGGAAAACAAGCGGACATATTCTCACTTGGTTTGACTATCTGGGAAGTTGCTCAGCGAATAAATGTCTCCAAGAGGAGGCAACTTTTCGACACACTTGTCAATCATGGAGACCATTCAGTGGTTGATAATCATCCGCTAATTTACAAAATAAAGGAGAGGATAATTCAAATGACGAAAAAAGACCCGCAACAAAGGATTAAAGAAATACAAGATATTAAGTGGAGGAATACTGTAGGACCAATTGTCGTCCATTCAGAGCCCGGAGAACTGTTCACCCTCCTCCAAACTGTGGAAAAAGGATCCTCCCTTAAACTAACTAAGGGAATTTTTGAATCATCCCTACCATTCAAAGTTACCTCCAAGAATATCTCAATAATCGGAGAAGAAATCGAGGAGACCATTATTAAAGGAATAATGGAGATTAGTAACGGCTGCACCTTAGCCAACTTTTCCATTGGCCACACACACGGTGACGACGCTCTAAGACTGGCAGGGGATGCGAATTCCGTAACAAATCTAAAAGTAACATCTAAAAGATTTGGTATCAGTGTGGGAGGAAATGAAAACGTATTAAGTAAAGTTACAATAGTGACTGAGCACATGGGACTTAGGGTGTCCGGGATTCGCCACAAATTTAAAAATGTAGAAATTTTATCAGCAACGTATGGGGCTTTCTTTACAAGGAGATCGACTAATTGTGATGTAATATCAATAAGGATTGTTGATTCCAGACAGGCCCTTACAATTTCTGGAGAGGGTCATACCTTTAAAAATATTTATCTTGTTCTCCAAAAACGGAGAGAAGGGGCGCATGACGGAATTGTGTTTCAAGATGATGCATCCAACTGTAATGTGGAGATTGAAGTGTGGGAAGGATACGTAAAGGAGGGCGATGTTCACTTAAGGTGCGACGATAAGTCTGGGAATAGCAGGGTGGATTTAGGAAATACGAACGCTGTTATAATAAATCATGGGAGAAATATGGAGATCATTTCTCCAAATGGGAGGTATATCGAGAAAGACGATTACCCAAGAAGCTGGGGTTGTGGAAGTTAAGCGGTTCTTTGTCAGGAAAATACTTGAATGAATAATGGATAGTAAATTTCAATTAAAAATAGTGAAGTGAAATTTGCGTGGACATATATAAGTCTAATTTGTACGTTCGTAATGTTTCTAACGGAACTTTTTAAGAAACAAGCTTTTTTAATGTTTACGTCGAACCACACAGAAAATTAAAAGAAAAAACATTTGATTCTTTTCAATCGTAATGATGATTGCATTCAGGGTTCGGAAAACCACGGGGTTTTTCTAGAAAAACCCTTAACCAGGAGTTTTTCCGGGGTTTTTGGGGTTTTTGTAGATTTTGGGGCAGATTGAAACAAATTTCTTAAAACAAAATATTAGAGTAAAATTAATTCAAAATTCGAAGTCAGCTTGAAAATTTAAGCATTTTCATATGTGACTTGGACTCCCAAGTCTAAAGTTCATGTTTAACATGCAAACCAAGTTGGAAACCAAGATTTGCTTGTTAGTGATACGTAGAGATTCAAGTCACACATGGAAATGTTCAAAATTTCATGCTTCAAAATTTCATTAATTTTAAGAAGTTTGTTTAAATCCGCCCCAAAATCTTGCAAAAACCCACAAAAACCCGCAAAAACCCCATTAGGCTTTGGGGTTTTTCCGGGATTTGAAACCCCAAAAACACACAAAAACCCCAAAAACCCCGACCCACAAAAACTCGGGGTAGCGTACCCTGATTGCATTCGAGATAAAAAACTTGACAATGTCAAATTGACATTCGTATAAAAACAATATAGTTTTCAGTTTTAATCTCCGTAATAAAGTTTCTTGTAGTATTTAATGAATGTTTTATATATGTCAATCTTTCCATAAGAATTTAATCATTGTGAATTTAGATAATTGAATTTAAATAAATTTATATTTTCAATCATATTTTGCCCTACGTATCTTATGATGATTATTAAATATACGTATGATTGATGTGGTATTGTTTAAAGATAGCATAAAATAGCACTGATAGCATAAAAGCACGCATTTGTTGGTTGCAAAGTTGTCAACATTTCGATGATGATATATAATAAATATTTTAGGATGAACGTGTATCAGAAGGGGCAAGTGTGTATAATTATTTTTTATCATTTATAAAGTTTGTTGGATTATAAATTGAGTTGGACGTTTAGCTATTCAGGTGATTTAAAGCGATTTATTGGCATCACGAAATACATTTGATTAAAATGATTAGTTAATATCATTAATTTCTTTAAGTTCATGTCCTGCATATACTAAACCATACAGGATCGGAATTCAGAATTTTGTAAACAAGGCGAAATTTTGTTAATAACCTGTCAACTTTAATTTACTCGAAATTTAGATAACATTTCAAATAGTCGTTTACAATTCAAGAAAGGTTGTTAATAATGCACTTTTTGTACTCACTGTCGCTTCTCGCAACTTTGACTTTGAGAATAATTTTCTAAATCAGAATTACAAATATAAATACATAACATAAATATGTAACTGAAATTTATGTAAAGTTAATGATAATCGTTATTTTATTTAATAAATAATAAATAAGTTATTACCGTTGAGAATATTTTTTCCTTCTAATATTACAAAAGGTTTAAGTTTAATAATTTATAGCAAAATAACGATTATCGTTAATTTTACATAACTCAATTTGTTTGAATTTCAGTTACATATTTATGATATGTATTTATATTTGTAATTCTGATTTAGAAAATTATTCTCAAAGGCGAAGTTGCGGAAGCGAAAGTGAGTAAAAAAAAGAGGAGAAATGAATGAAAGCAAAGGTCAACGCATTTGCCTGGGAAAAAATGTAAATTTTCGCTCACGCATACCTCTATAACTTCGTTCAAAGTGAGCATTATGAAAAAAACCCGAAACATGTGTCTAATTATTGATGTAAATCTACATAATTACGTAGTTTCATCAAAATTGGAGCGAGACCGCTGGTGGCATCGCATTGTTAGTAAGACAAGGCATCCCTTGGAAGTAATTTCGGTTGAGTTAAAATACCATGAATGCAAAATAACATGAATAATTTATATTTGGATAGTTACAGTTGTGCATCCTATACTATTAAAAATTCCAAACTAAAATTTACTTAAAGTTATTACTTAACTTCGTTTAGTCGAATTTGACGTGATTTGAGATATCAATTGATTCATGTTTTCACAATCAAATTAATATCCCAGATAAAAGTGCATTGTTTGATTTGTTTATGACAGGATGGGGTTCCGCACAGCAAAAATATCAAATTTATGTGGTCTGGTTTCAAATTGTGAACTACTAACTTGAAACACTTCATCATTCCTCTGATTCCTCGACATCTTTTTCGTCATCATTCATACATTGCACACACAAGCATTTATGATAATTACAAAAAATACGTATTTAATATGAACAGAAACAGTTTCGTTATTTTCTTCCTTTTAGTATCCCAGACGTTAAAGTAATTAATCTCCATCATTTACTACCATTTCTTCTTTTTCAATATGATTTATCCGTTTTTTTACCATTCGCAGTGCACCGGAATATGGGACAAAAATCCAATATGACGGGTGCGACCCCATTGCGATTGATGATCCGCCAGTGGTTATGAGTATGAAATTCACATTTTGAAGCTAACATTACACACATGTAATTCCCTAGTCCAAATAGGAATATCGATATTTTGTAGGCGACTCTGCCATCAGCCGACCAATCTACCCAATTCGTAGATGTGCAAAAACGTTGATTGTCGTTATACTCGACGAAAGTGGTTCCATGGATGTTCAAAAATCCAATGTCATCGGAGGATATAATTCATTTGTTGATAATCAACGTGCAATTAAAAACGATCAGGTAAAAGATGTTCATATGTACACATATACGCAGCTATTTATTAAGTGCCAGTATACACAGCCATGTAACTGTTCCAGGCACGACTAATCCTCATTAAATTCAGCAGTAGTGTGAATATAGCTCACAGGGCGATAGAATTGGCAGAAGTACCGCACTTGACTTCATCATCTTACAGACCAGGGGGTGCTACAGCTTTATATGACGCAGTCTCAGAAGGGATTCGGTAAATATATAAGATAAGATAAGGTAAGATAAGATTTATTCAATCCTTATAGAGGCCGCTTCGGGCCCATGAAGGTACAGTTATTAGTTTGAATTAAAATGTTGATTATAATGAGTTCCTAAATAATATTTGTAATGAAATTAGCAGAAATAAATTACAGTAAAATAATATTGGATTCGGTAAATATATGTGCCAGTCTTCCTGGCACATATTCCTGGCTTGATTGGCTTGATTCCTGGCTTGACTCTACTCGGGGAAGGTTGTGTGCTGGAGCAGGCTTCTGGTACAGGCAGCTAAAGTTAACTTACGTAATCTCACACTGCCTCTCCAGAAAACAGACGATTTTACTTGCTCTACGTTCGAACTCCAAGTGCTAGTGGGAAACTTTCTGAACATTGAAATAAAGCAGACCAAACTTTCACTCGGAATCAGCCACCTTTCGAGATGGTGTGGTTTGAGTGATAAGGTATTCTGGACTGCACTAATTTCTGTGTCGCCAGACCTACGGCTAAGCACATGTTACCATTAACGCCACAAAGAAAAGATAAAAGAAAGAAGGAGGAATCTTTCACCCCCTCCACACGACCCTAAAAAGAAGCAAAGGGAGGCAGAGGAAAGCTCGAGTGACCCAGATAATTCCTTTACTACCCCACCGGATAAACCCTTTATGCAAGATAACCAAGAGTCCAGCATGGCTTACAACGAATCGTCCTTGCTAGCAAAAATTAGCGCTATGCTTGAGCCAATCAAAAAAATTTGCGAGAACTCATCTAAGGGTCTCGAGAAAAGACTTGACCAGCTATGTCGAGAAAAATCAATTGTCATCTACGGACTGGCAGAAGCAAAGCACAGGGTGAGACTGTTGAAAAAATGCTTGAAGCGGTGGATGGCATATTCTCCAAATTGGGTGGGAAGCAAATTCCCATTGATGACATCTTTCGGCTGGGGAAAGCATCGCAACGAGGACCACGCCCACTACTCGTAAAACTATTGAGAAATCTGGATGTGAAATTCATACTCAAGAACAAGAAAAACTTAGGCAAGGAGAAAATTTTCATCGACAAGGACAAATCCATCCAAGAAAGAGCCAAGGAGAAGAAGCTCAGAGACGAATTTAACGTTTTGAAGAGGGCTGATAATGGGATCAGGATGGCTTTTTCTAAGGGGAGTTTACTGGTGCTTAAGGGGGGGGGGGTGGTGATCAAGACTCTCTCTTATGATGAGGACCAAGACGTTATCCATCAGATCTGAGGACGGCAGCCCATGGAGCGCATACCCAGAACATTCGTAAAGTATAATAATATCAATATAACTAACTCTACTAATTTAGTAATAACATTTTACAATGTAGAAGGGTCGTTTAAGCTAATCAACATGCTTTCCAAGGACCTAGAAATCTTTACACAATCGCATATTATCTGCTTATATGAAACTTGGCAAGAGAGTGATTACATATTGCACCCCTTCAAAAAGTTCAGCATATTTAGCTCACACGCCATCAAGCATAATAAAAAAGGGAGAGCAAGTGGAGGAATTTCAACTCTATTTAGGAATGATTTGTTTGCATTCGACTGTTTGGTAGTATCACATCAAAACTTCCTCATTATTAGGTTGAAATTCGGGTATAAATTCTTCCTAGTAGTAAATGCATACATTCAACCATCAAACGAGAAAGATGAAATCATACTTGATCTAGAAAATGCAATCCGTGAAGCTTCTGAAAAATATAAGTTGGATGGGTTGGTGGTCTGTGGAGATTTCAATGCGAGGGTGGGAGAGGAGGGTCAAGTATCAGATGCTCAAATTGTACCACATGAAAACATTCAGCCAGGCAGAATTTCACGAGATGGCAAAATTACCAAGCGTGGTGCACTGTTATTAGAAGGAATGGAGAATAACTCGCTGACCTTACTAAATGGTCGGTCCACAGGGGACATTCCTGGTAATTTTACTTTCAACGGAATTCATGGCCTAAGCACCATCGACTTGGCTTTCGTTGACTTCTGCACTCTTGCCTATTGTAAGAGCTTAGAAGTAATAGAAATGCCTTATTCATCTCATTTTCCCTGTAGACTGACGCTGAACTTTCAAATGCAGGAAAGCAACAGTCATGAGTAAAAATTGCGCTGGGCCGAGAATAAAAGTGAACTTTATAATAAGGTGGTCAGCACTTTAGTAAAGGAGGAAAAAGAGACTATCACATACGAGTTACTATCTGATTTCATTATGGCAGCGGCAGAGGAATGCAATTTGACCAAAACCACCAGGAACGTCATAAGCAAGCCTTGGTTCGACAAAGCTTGTGTAGACTCACGTCTAAGGATAAAACAAATTTATAAGAAAGCGTTGAACGAGGGTTGGACAGATAACATGAGAGAGCATTACAAAGAGGAAAAAAACACTTTCAGATCCATATGCAGACTTAAAAGAGCAGAGTACGACACAAACTTCCAACACCAACTAAATAACTGTAAAATGAGCTCGGATTTCTGGCAGGCAGTAAAACGATATAGAGCAAAGCCTTCCCTACCCAACAAAGTAAGTAAGGAAACCTGGCTCAACTTTTACAAGAACATTATGCCCACTAGAGCTTTATCGCATACTCTGTACGAAGGAAACGAGGTTCCAGAAGTTGAATGTGAAATCAGTGAAGGGGAACTATTGAGTGCTCTTAAAAAGCTGAAAAATAACAAGTCTCCAGGACACGATTCAATTACGAATGAGTTCCTAAAAGGCTTGGAGAATGAAGGCAGAGAGGCATTGCAAAATATGTTTAACGATATACTGCAGTCAGAAAGTATACCAGACCCGTGGGCAAAATCTGTTACAGTTATGATTTATAAGAAGGGCTGTCCCAATGACCCCGCAAACTATAGGCCAATCGCTTTGTTGAACACCATGCTTAAACTCTTCACTAATATCTTGCAGGAGAGGCTTACGGTATGGGCAGAAAAAAGGAACATTTTGCCGGAAAGCCAAGCGGGGTTTAGGAAGAATAGAAGTTGTGAGGAGCAAATATTTTGCCTAAAAACAGCAATACAAAAAAGTTTATCAAAGAAGAAAGGCAAAATGTTCGCCCTATTTATCGACTTTGAACGAGCTTTCCCCAGCATACCACATGAAAAATTATGGAGTAAGTTGTCCTCCCTCGGCTTTCCCAGCAAGATTATTAGGCTACTGAAAAACCTATACGACAAATCGTCTACAGTAATAAGATCTGAACACGGTAATTCACCTGAAATTCAGGTAACACTCGGTCTTCTTCAGGGTGAGGTACTTTCTCCGATTCTGTTTTCTCTCTATATAGCAGATATAGAGAAAGTTCTAACGGAATCAGGAATACCGGGAATTAAATTACTAGTAAACAGGCACCTACATATTTTGCTTTTTGCAGATGATATGATAGTAATGGCCTCCTCTCAAAGAGATTTGCAAAGGAAAATTGACATCCTTCGAAAATATTTTTTGAATTTAGACCTGAAGGTTAATCTGGCCAAAACGAAGGTAATTGTTTTTCGTAAAGGAGGCAGGCTGGCCAGGGGAACGGAGTTTACTTATGGAGAGGAGAAAATTGAGATTATTAGTCAGTATACATATCTAGGTGTCATATTTTCTCAGAAAGGAGTTGTCGCTAAAGCTGCTGTGGACTCCAAAAGGAAAGGGATAGCTGCATTGGGGTCGATTTGGAATGTTATTTTCGCAGGAAAGATAGGCAGTTTGAGCTCAAAATTACGACTGTTCAACTCTATATCTGCCTCATGTTCTCTGTATGCTGCTCATATCTGGAGTTTGAGATACATTAACAAGTTAGAGGAAGTACAGGCATATTTTATTAAGCGAATGTTGGGGATAGAGAAATGCACACCTAACTACTTGTTGAGACTAGAAAGTGGTGTCCCATCCATGCTATTCCGCGTTATTAAACAAGCCCTTTGTTTTTGGGTGAGGGTGATGGATATTGACCCATCTCGCCACGCTAAGCAATGCCTTACTGCCTTAATTAAAGACTGGGAAAATAACCCAACGCGAAACACGTACAACTGGGTTGGTCAACTAAACCATATCCTGCAGCCCTTTGGCTTTAATAACTTTGTGCAGCAACAAGACAGTGCAGTTACGCGTGCTTTGATACCAGAAATCCTGACAAGAATTTTAGATATGACAAGACAGAAGTACATGGGAAATATGAGAATTTCAAAAAGATTCTCTTCATTTGAGAATATCATGAATAATTTGCCTGGACCCTCTACATATCTAAATCTGAATCTCCCATATAATCAACTCAGCATCTTTGCACAATGCAGATTAAATAGGAATATTATATATTTCGAGAAATTTAAGCATGACTTCACGACGGAGGAATTTTGCAAACCCTGCAATATGAGAGAAGAGGGGAGTTTCTTTCATTTCATAACAAAATGCAGGATTAATGAAAGTGAGCGACCGAACTTAGTTAAGAGTGAAGGGAGAGCACTAAACTCAGTAATTGACCTGGAATGGTATTTCAACCCTTCTCACGTATCAACTTGTGCCTCAATTTTTAAATTTGTCAGCCATTCTTTAAGAGTGAGACAAATGATTATCGAAGAATAATTGGTACACCACGGATTCACTATTCATCCAACTTCCAAAGTAGTAACTATAAAACTGCGGAAGCTAACGAATTTCAACTTATCTCAACTGATCCCCTTGCTCTCCCTTAAGTAAAGTCAGTGCACTGTGTATTATCAGCTAATCCAAACTTCTAAAGTGGTAGCGACGACAGTGTAACTCTCCCATAAGCCAATACATTGCTTTCTCTCACAAGGAATAATCACTTACCATGAACGGTAATCTCCATTTTACGAATATAATTAGAAAAAGGGTCTATAACAAATACAAATCACAGGTCATGCACTTTGCATCATCATTGGCACCCTTGGTGCACTCGCACACGCGGAACCTGAGCCAGGCCTTGGAGCCCTCACCGGGGTGGGTGCAATCGGAAAGTTTCTGGGGGCAGGAAACGTGGTACATGGAGTTGCAGAGTTTGTAAGCGGCATCCGGAATCTACTAGGGAAGCCACACGAATTTGCAAAAAAACAGGATTTTCGAGACGATGAAATTCAAAAAGGCCTTTTACAATACCTGGTAGTAAGCTCGTTTCAGGCAGAGGAGTTAGTTAAAGCAATTCAGCAGTTGAATGGCTCCATTGAAAAGCTAGGGAAAATAGTTGCAAAAATGGAAGACGACGAAAACAGCTCAGACACTAAAAACTTTTATGCACTAGGAGGAATAATTGGGGTCATTTCCATGAATATGTTAATTATATTAGTGCTCAATAGGAAAAGCACGAATAATGGTCAAAATATTAACATCCAACGCACATGAGGTTCTCCCATACTCGGCACTTTCTGGCTCTAAATGTAACGCATGAAATTAAAAGTAAATTTTAATTCTATGAATATTGACCAGATGATCTGTATTTAAGTATGATTTATAAAATTATGCAAACATGTCATTACTAGCACCGTTATTTACTGTTATCCTTTCTATTATACTACAATACAAAAATTATTACACATTATTATATTATTACATTGAACTTATAACATTAATTATTATATCGTATATCGAAATCGATAATCTAATATTTCATTTTACTTCGGATAATTATAAGAAATTAACACAACTAACCTATAGATTTAGTAAATTCACAAGAATCCATTCTATTTATGTAATATCTGATGAAAATATTTTGGTGCTCTATGGGCTATGCCCGATAAGAGTTTTGTTTGTCAATAAATAATCAATCAATAATCAATCAATCAGTCTTAAAAATTCTGACAAGTTAAAATTGAAACTTTTGTGGATTGCCGAGGCCGTAGCCAAAAGTGATGAAAGAGTTCTCGTTCTAATTATGACTGGTATGATATTACTTCAATATTATTAAATATTTATGCCAAATGTACATTTCAAAATTTATTATCCTTGTGTAGACGGTGAGGAGAATAGCTCGAAAAAAGCTACAAGTTCTTCAGTGAAAGCCATGATTCGAAAGAAGGAATCTCTCGGAACTTGGACGTTTGCTTACATAGGGGAGAACCCGGATGGATGGGCAAGTCAAATGGGACAATCCAAGCACAATGTTATCGTGTACGATTTGCAAAATCAAGGCTCGAACATGGAGAAAGCTTCCAACGCGGTAGCAAAGTTCAGGTGAGCTGCAGCCCCACAGTCGAGCGCTTTCTTTGCGCAGACATAATTACATATTTACAATTTTAAGTCTATCCTAATTTTAAAAAGGACAATACAAATTCATAAAAAATTCATATCGTCCCAAGGTGGTTGGTCTAAAACAAACTCTTTCAGTGTGTAATTTCCTTGATAACCGTCATCATCTACCTCAAGCCGGTTAATATCCAAAGGTTTGTATCCCCACAAATCCATCGCTTCTTCACAAGAATTTTGAATTCTGTCCAAACGCGTGACATTATTGCGATAAAAGTTAAACCAACTAAACGCAACCTTTCTTGAATTGCGATACGTGCCAAATTCACCCTTTCGAGTAAGTCTCGAATGTAGCATAGCAAATTGCTTGACTTTCGAATGATAGCTTAATCGGAAAAAGGGAAGAATCGTTTTCGCCGCGAGTGGTACGTTTAATGAAACGTCTTCGTAACGTAGGACCCTGTGGTATCGTAAAATCGTATCAATTGACCAAATTTGAGATAAATATTTCAAGACAAAACCTACTTGAAGCGCTTGGGGTATTTTTCCCTTAAACTTTTTTGCATCTGCAAATTCGTCCACCAAATCAGAACAGAGACGACGCTCATCAGAACAATCGGGATGCTGGTCACACCAGTAGTTTGACCCATTATTCCTCGACTTCATTGTTCCTCTTGGGTCCCGGACGAGGTAAATGAGACGAGTATCATATCTGAATAAATACATTAAGCATAATATGCACTCTTAGTAAATCAGCACCTCAGAGTAATTAATTCTTACTCTTCATCCGATAACAATTCCTCTGCATCTTTCAACCTAAATCTTACAAATTTGACGAGTTGGATGGGAAAGAATGTGCAGACTTTCGAAATAAATTCAGGGTCACGACAACCATCCGGAACTATGGTACAAAATGGCTTCATTTTGTCGCTACGACTAATCATGCCGGAAATGAAGTTCCCGCCATTTCCAGTCCACTCTAAACAAATAAATTATGTCGTTCGTCAACACATCCTGTAATCGAATTTCTATTATTCAAGTTACCAGTGTAATTAAAGTAACAATTAAAACTTGATTTGCTCATTGTTATCCCATTTGATACCTCCGCTTTGGTACGAATCTACGCGTGATAATATTTTCCAATAGGTAAAATTTAGCAAAACCAAGTTTTTTTATTCACCCGTTCACTTTCCATGTACATGAAGGGTTCAAAAATTAGAAGAGTTCCTGGATGACTGCTAACCAATTCAGCCAAAAATGTTGAGCCTGAGCGCCAAGTGGACACTATGATGTTGCGAATCGGTTTGCCACCAAAATCAGGAATGTGATCTATGCAAAAAGTTTTTTTTTTTTTGTGATTCCTGACACTTATAAATTCTTCAACAAAAATTTTCTTGCCCTTTTGCCAGCTGATATTAAACCCCTGTAAGTCCGTTCGCATGGACTGCCGTAAGTTGTAAATCACACGAGCTTTTAGCAGATCGGATGGTTTAATTCTATAAATTGATTTATTCCTGGGTGGTGACGCTTGGTACTCCACCTTTTTTTATCAAAATTTCAATAATCGTTAGACGAACTAATAATTCATATTAATGTGTAAAGCAATACCTGATTTTGAATATGCAAATTCTCCTCCGGCATATCATACGTTTGGGGGATGGATAATGGGGGCAATACTTTTGAATCTCTCTGCCAAACGTATCTCTCATTTCGACTCTGATTACTTTTATCATTTTTAAAGTACAACAAACTCGGAAACCCGAACAATGCCGTGGTGACCACGACAAGCTTGTGTAATATTTTCATCCCGGAATTCTATTATTATTTTCCGTCTACCTTAATCAATCAACTCAAACAAGAGAAAAGTTCACGTCTGCAAGGATGAATTTGCTGCAGTTTTTTTGCAATCTGGATTACATAGTTTGTGGTCTCTCAAAAATTATGCAGAATGGATTTCTCCGCTATTCAAACATTTTAGGTGACGCAGATCAATAGGTTGTGTGTACACAGCTGTCTACATATTTGCAAACTATTAGGATTGCACAGTGTTAAATGGGTATATTGAGTGGCATTTGTTGAATGAAGATTTGAGCTGAAGGTTACGCAGTATTAAAAATAGCGCATTTTTTCCTAATTTTATTCCCAAATTAAATACAACTGGTTTTGGTGGAAAATTTATAAATAAACGGCTCCGATTTTTTACACTACGTGTTTACTCACGTAGACTTATATAAGTAATCATGCACAGTAAATATGTACCTAGTGGTGTGATATTTACACATTAACTTAATTAACAATAAGCATTTTGAAACATCAGAATTTAATTACAAATTTATCAAAGCTAAAAATTGAGTCATCTCATTTAAATAATTCAAAAATATGCCCAGCTTAAACTAAACGCATGTATTAAATGGCAAAATATTTGGATGAAATTGCATCAAAAAAGTTGGCTTGCACAAGTAGACTACGTGTATTCGCAATGCGAATTTCGCATTCATGTGCATTTGTACACGTGTACTAGATAACATAATTTGCATACATCGGTTCATTTGCCGTTATTGTGATGAACAACGGCACTTTTACATCATCTAAATACTTATGTGCAAGCAAACCTATACAACATAAATGTGAGTCATACGCAGTAGTACATAAAACTCGCCTTAATTCAAATAAGTCTCATCACATTTAAAGCAATTCTAATGTTATCAACACCTTCAAAATGAGCAACGAACTTTCAAACTCGTTTTCCATACAATAAACGCTGTCGAATTTTCTGGAGAGTGGAGATTTAGCCGACGTGGAATTTATCGTAGGTCAGGAAAAAGTGGGAATTAAAGCGCACACAATTTTTTTGCTCATGCGAAGTTATGTCTCTGGTTCCATGTTGAGTTCTCGGTGGCTCTGTGACACAGAAAGTGGTGCTAAGAGTAGAACTCCCTTATTTCGAACCAGCCGTTTTTAAAACGTTTCTAAAGGTGTGGAAATAAGAGTGATGCACATTTCATTAATCGATTCGTGTTTTAATCATAAGTTTTTTTAATTCAGTACTTGTACACGGATCAAGTCATCATTAGTAGGGAACGAGCTGATTAACCTCTTCATAATGGCTGACATGTACGGGATAATCCCACTCCAAGAAAAAATCTTGACCACTCTCGAGTCTAGTCTTTCCATGAATAATTGCGTCAATATTTACGAATCTACGAAATTCCTAAATGAGGAGTTAAGCAGGAAAGCGATGGAGTTTATAAAGGGGTAAGATTTCATGTTAATCCATGTTTGAATCCGATTCAAGTATTTACTGGGGATTTTGTTTTCGGTTCGGTAGAAGCATTTCACAATTGCTGCACCACAACGTATATCTGAACACGGGTAAGGATGGACACTGAAGTTCAGATACGTGGACAGAAATTCTCCAATCGGACGGCATGGTTGTGGAAGAGGTCAAACTTTTTGTTGCGATGGTCAAGTAATTTCCCAACTGTATTACGTGTTCGTAGGTGACTTTTTTAGGTGTATGCAGTTTAATTAAATATTTGTCATGTAAATAGATTGGCGGAAGGAGATGAGACACGTTTGCAACATTTACCATCCACTCTGCTCCAACTGATTCGTTATGCAATCATGACGTCAGAAGAATTTGCCAAGTTTGTCGTGCCTACTGGATTACTAGAAAATATTGCCATTATTAAAATGTTGCTCTTTTATTTTACATCGATTCCAAAGGGTGAGAAACTCATTCATAATTAAGAATGACGCTAAATAATTTTAAGCGAATAATCGTCATAATCAGGGTCTCTTTACTGTATCCTTGGAGAATTCTAGACAGGGTCATGTCAGTTCAAAATTTCTCAAAATTTTTTAAAAAAGATTTTAAAGTTTGAGAATATGGGTGATTTGTGCTGGGAGAGTTTGGTTGTCAACAAAAATAAAATACTGCGATTTCTCATAAAATGTAAACGAATAATTCTTAGATATCGTGATCCTAGTTCAACGATAATTACTTTATGAATATTTTAGTTAACAATTAAAATTACGCCTTTGCAATTTGCATTTTATGAGAAATCCGAGTATTTTATTTTTGTTGACAACCAAACTCTCCCAGTACAAATCACCCATATTCTCAAACTTTAAAATCTTTTTTAAAAAATTTTGAGAAATTTTGAACTGACATGACCCTGTCTAGAATTCTCCAAGGATACAGTAAAGAGACCCTGGTCATAATTTATACAAAAATTTGTACTTGGAGATGGAGATGGTCACACTATTTCCAACCTAGTTTGTGTCAACCGGGGTCAATATCGAGGGAAAGGGTGCAGGTCACTCTGTCCTTGGTGTGGCCTCCATCCAGAGCACGGATGGCCAGAGTAGATGCGAATTTAGTACTGCCGTCTCCATGATGGGAGGAACTGGACACACGCTCCAAGATATTTCTGGGGATTGGTATTTACGATTTGGAGAAGGAAGTGAAACCGTCGATGTGACCTACTTGGCGTCACGCTGGACGGGAGGGGGCATGACTTTGTCGGACTCAAGGCAAGAAAATGGGTCAAGGTTAAAGGAGATGGGCATTCTTTTGATGCTTTGTGCCAAGCTGGGAGGTGGGATGGAAGGAGAGACAACAATTAAGCAACGATTTATACTTGTTTTACATGTAAAATTATTTATTTACAAAACCAATAAATCTCATTAAAAGAATTAATGTACAAAAAATTTGTAAACTGATACCCCGTTGTGGGAACAAAGCCACAAAACATACCAAAAGTGCGATGATTTGGGTAGCCGAGAGCAAATTCAATTCTTCCAATTACAAAGAGGAAATTAACCCAAGGGATCGTTCTAAGTGCTCATTAATGAATGCAACAAGGATCGCTTGTGCAAATGCGGAGAGGATGAACTGTTCGAAAGAGTTTTGTAAAATGTTGGCTTGCTTTTGGAAGTAAATGTCGCGACCATTGAGTGGGTTTAAGGCACCGGTTCTGTTCCTTTGGAGAACTACGTTGAAGATCATAAGAACAAGCCAGAGGGCAGGAAGGGTGAGATACTTGAAGGTGAATTCCACCGGTGCGACCTTAATGTAAATATATTTAGTTTAAAAAATTATTCTATGAACATTTTGAAATATTTGCTTACCAGCCAAATTAATCGTTCCACTGAGGGCAAGTCCTCCAGTGACTGCGATTACCACGGCGGCAATGACGCCGATCGGTGCAGCTTTCATGAGCGTTAAATTGTCCTTTTTCTCCTGATCGGAAAGTCCAGGTGGCGATCCCATTTCTTCCATATTCGTCGTTAAATCGATAAATCAGTATTATTAGCTCACCCTGCGTAGCATGGGAGCTATTGAATTCCTCGTGTCCGTCTGTCTGTCTGTCCGTCTGTCTGTCTGTGTGTGTGTTAACGACTATTTTGCATCAATTGATGCTAATTAAATAGGAACATTTCCATTTTTAAATAATTTTGTAGCACCATTGGTATCGAACACTCGGTAAGTCAAAATGGTGCCAAACAATTCCGTGCATATGCTGAGAACTGAAAGACGAATAAACCGTTGTAACGTTAGAAGTAGCTCACCCTGTAATAATTATTTTGGCATAATTTTGTACCAATGGTGCAGAATTGGCAGATAAAATAGATACGTAATTAGCCCGACCCAGGGCTTATGTACCCGTGATGTCTGTCTGTCTGTCTGTCTGTCCGTCTGTCTTGCGATAACTCTCGTTAAACTCATCCTATCGACTTGAAATTTGGTACACATGTTGTATGGGCCAAATGAGGAGCTAAGTTCGAAGATGGGTGAAATCGGTCAAGTGGTTGACCGGTGAGGGTCATTTAGGCGGGTGGGGTATTATGCACCAAAATTTCAAAATTGTCGTAGAAAGCTGAAATTTGGCACAGAGCTAGTTAAGGATTCCTAATGGAAGAAGATGAACTGATATCGGCCAAATTTTTATCTGGAGGGACCCTACGGGGCGACCCATACCGATTTTTGAAAATCATCCAATCGAGCTGAAATTTGGTATGGAGGATGATAATGGCTTCTAATTGACGAATGTTAATTGAGATTCGAAAATTTTTATCTGGAGGGACCCTACGGGGTGACCCATACCGATTTTTCAAAATCAACCAATCGAGCTGAAATTTGACAGGAAGGTTGCTAGTAACCTCTTATGGAAGAATAAGAAGGGGAATTTGAAAATTTTAAATCTGGAGGACCCAATAGGGTGACCCATAGCGACATATCAAATCATTCAATTGAGCTGAAATATGACACCGAGGGTGTTAATTGCTCCTAATGGAAGAATATAAAAAAGTTTGATCTATGGGGATCCTACGTGATAACCCATGTGGGTATGGGTTATCACAGTGTTTGTATCCGAGTAGGATTTCTGTTTGTAAGATTGTAAATATGTATTGATAATTGTCATTTGTACGAATATTTATGTGCTGAAAAGTGTATTCAATACACTGTATTGTAATGTGATAATGTCGTAATGTATGCTGTTATGTTGGAATGGAGGCACATAAATAGATATCACGAGGTGGTTTAAGAATTCCTGGGTCGGGCTCCGTGAAGCTGTACTAGAGGTTTTTTAGCATAATTTTGCATTAATGGTGCAGAGTAGGCGGACAAAAGATATACATAATTGTGATATAATTTTTCACCAATGGTGGAAAAGAAACGAGGAAAATCAATCCATAATTTTTGACATAAAATCTTGACAAATCCGAAGTCAAAATTCTAGTTATTTTTTTCGGTTCTTATGCACGTTTGGTGTGTTTTGCATCTATGTTCTCAATTGTTTGGCACCATTTTGACTTACCGAGTGTTCGATACCAATGATGCTACAAAATTATTTAAAAATGGAAATGTTCCTATTTAATTAGCATCAATTGATGCAAAATAGTCGTTAACACACACACAGACAGACAGACAGACGGACAGACAGACAGACGGACACGAGGAATTCAATAGCTCCCATGCTACGCAGGGTGAGCTAATAATACTGATTTATCACTTGAACAACTTATTTAGAAGCCAAAAACAACATTTCTACAACATGACTGGCAAAAACAGGAGTGATGGTGTTACAGAAAGAGATGTCCACATACATACAGCAGCGTTTACATAAATATGCATGCATAATCTCTGGCCCTCGATTGAAATATGTAGCATTTTTTGTCACTTTTTACTATAGATTACTCATACCCAGCAACAACTTTTCTTTTTAGTTCTCGTGACTAGTGCAATTACAAATATCAAATATTTAGTATATACATGGGCATGTATGTTGGTCAGCATTTATATACTGGACATGCGCATAGTCGAGTCGAAGGTCATATCCCGGGTGAAAATTTTTGCCAGCTTTATGCACAAAATTGGCTGGATTTTATGCACAAAAAATTTAAACCGGGAGGTATATGCATAAAATATGTCGAATTATGCATAATTATGCATAATGTGACGCACGATTTTCACACGGGATCACCCATCCCACTGGACAACACAATGTGACTCGTCATAAAGCATATCTTTATGCACACCTTTTTACTATGACCACGTTATAAAGGCTCGAGCAATCGAGTTTTCTAGTAGGATGATGCATTCCAGTTTTTTAGCCCTAACCAACGTCAGGTTTATCTACCGGTCTACAGGATTCAGATAATTCTGATAAATATGTGCTTATTTACTCAAAAATTCTGGCTCAGGCTAAAGAAAGTTGTACTGGACGTTTGTTGGACGTTTTTCTATAAAGATATTACTCCTAAATGCAGGGTATTCCAACCCCGGGGTTTACTGGGTTGGGGTTGTGGGGTTTTACTGTGTTTTACTGCGTCGTAAATGAGTAAAACCCAGCGGGTTTTACTATGTTAAAGGGGTTTTACTCGGGTTTTACTGGGTTTTATTCGGGTTTTACCTTGTTAGTATTGCCGTCATTGGGGTGGCCCTCCAGCAGTTTTTTATTTGCATACTTTTTCTTTTTTTAAGTGATTCTTGCAACTGCAGTGGTTACAACCACAAATTATATTTATTTAAAAAAATTATTGTCGTCAGAACTTCCACGTCAGAAATTTTATACGGTCACCCTTTTTTAGGGTGGCGGACACTTTATTAATTTTACCTCAGTTTGTTAAAAATTGAAAACTTTAATCCACCATGATTCTCTAAGAAATCGAAATATTGGTAATTTATATATTTCCAAAATGCACATATATTCATTTAAGCGTTGTACACATGGAGGTCGCTGTAATGTCGATATGGAAGGAGTTTCGTCATTATCGTCTTTGTGATGAAAGTTGGAAAGCTTTCACATGCTAGTGAGCCTACAATGCTAAAATTTTGCAAATTCAGGGATCATTTATATCCCGACGCCCTTCCTCCGTTTCTTCTATACAAACCAGATCCTCTCCCCACCCAAATACAATCTCACGCTTTTGCAAGGCCCCGTTGTTATTTCTGGAGTCTGTACATTCCTATTTTGATTTCAATAGTCCTTATTATTAAAATTACTTTTCAATCGTCTCCACCTAGGATTTACTAAAAATTAAACACGATAAAATAAATTATTGCTACAAAAAACTTAAATATTGAACAAAATTTAAAATCAAATAAAAAATATTGCAGTATATGTATTCTCTCGTGACCATGTACTGTGTGGGGTGACCAGACTACCCATTAATAGAGATAGCCAGGCCAGCGGCGGTAGCACATTAAAGGCTAATTGCCGACCTCGTGACCATAGTTCGGGAATGGACGGCCCAATAAGAATTAACCAGAGCGGACTACAAAATTCAAACTCATTTAATCCATACCAATTTAAAATTTCATATAAAAAATTAGACACAAAAAATTAGGGAACAACAAACAAACAAACAACAAACACAACAAATATTATCTTGATATTTAGTTCTACAGATGAGAAAATGGAATTAAATGAGGTAGACAACAATTTGTCCATCAATTATGCAGTCGTCAGTTCTTCAATTCTTCCTTTTCCCCTTTGGAGCCGACTCTCCCTTATACTTGGCCATTTTCTAGGAACAATAGAAACGGAAAGAATTGTAGTAAATTTAAACAACCAATGATTAATTTATCTTTTAGTATTTCATAAATAATAAATATCTGACCTTCTGGTACTCCTCCTTTGCAGCAGCGGCAGCCTTTTCGTACTTTTTCTTGGAGGCGGCGTCAATTGAGGCCCAACGTTTCCCCAACTCCTTCCCCATTTCGCCCAAACTAAGGCCGGGATTTTCTTGGCGAATCTTAGGCCTCATTTCACCAGAAAATAGAAAAAAGCGCTGAGGGGGCGCTTTGGTGCGTCAGGGTCCTTAGTTTTACCCATTTTCACTCGCAAATTATTTTAGGAGGAATTAATCAATTATTATTTTTTAATTCAGGAGGGAATCCAACGGACAGCAGAGAGGAAAGAAAGGAAGTGTTTCGGTGGTTGGCCGTTGGAGTTTATGTTTGGTAGAGTTGCGCACGGGTTGTAACTCTAGACGGAACCTGAACCCAGACCCGATAATTTCTACCCGTACCAGAACCAAGATTCGGAATAGGCCAGAGTGATATATAAAAAATTATGGGTCACTTGTTTAAATGGGTTTTATGGTTTTGGTTTGTTTTATTAAGTTTTTTTGGTTTTAGTGGGATTTATTTCGTTTTATCAAGAATGCCAAGAAAAATATTAAGATTATGTATCAAGATTATGTAGGTTAAAATAATAATTTTTAAATTACTAACTTACCTCGACTGATTGGTTTTTACTTAAATTTAATGCTATAAAATGCTATAAAATATGAATAAGATCAAATTAAACTCAAATTAAGCCCACTTCGCCTTTATACCCATTGGGTTTAATTAATTTGGAACTCCTACTGCGACATAACATTTGCATTACACGTTACTGGCGTAAAAATAAAATATTTTTAATAATAATTTTGTGTCAACATATTGTAAAAATCTCGGCCCGGCTCCCCTCTAGTTTCCCACAAGTTAGGGACGAAATGCTACCACCACCAACACATGGTGGTGGTGTTACTTCAGGTAGAAACATACTCCGTACATCCTTACCATCCTATCTCCACACTGTTATAACTGCCAAGCTACACACGGGAGAGCTGTGAGGTGAGTGCCAGCTTGGCAAAAATCCAAGATTTTATTTTCACTCTCCTTTCATTGAAATTCGTAATACATGCTCATAATACGACAACAAAAAATTTTCGGTCATAAATTTCAATTTTTTTCACTTATCATCGCTCATCTTAGGGTCATCAATAAATTTTATTTTTAGTCATGTTTCATTCATATTAATAACATGTGTTCATATTGCGACAACAAAAAATTTTCATTCAGAAATTTCAATTCTTTTCACTTATCATCGCTTATCTTAGGGTTTTCAATAAATTTTATTTTTAGTCATGTTTCATTCATATTAATAACATGTGTTCATATTGCGACAACAAAAAATTTTCATTCATAAATTTCAATTTTTTTCACTTATCATCGCTTATCTTAGGGTTATCAATAAATTTTATTTTTAGTCATGTTTCATTCATATTAATAACATGTGTTCATATTGCCACAACAAAAAGTTTCGTATAAAGTCAGACCTTTTTGACCTCAGTGTGATATAAATAAATTTAAAATAATTTAATTTAATTTATTTTAAAACTTATTACTGTTTCTATTTATTGCAATTATTTAATTTAAACAAAATTACATTGAAGTAGAAAATTTTGTTATGGCCTTAGTATGAGCATACATCTTTAATTTGAATGAAATATGAGTAAAAATAAAATTTATTGATAACCCTAAGATAAGTGATGATAAGTGAAAAAATTGAAATTTATGAATGAAAATTTGTTGTTGTCGTATTATGAGCATGTATTATGAATTTCAATGAAACGCGAGTGAAAATAAATTCTTGGATTTTTGCCAAGCTGACACTCACCTCACAGCTCTCCCGTGTGTAGCATGGCAGTTATAACAGTGTGGAGATAGGATGGTAAGGATGAACGGAGAGAGTATGAGTGAGGGACGAAATGCTACCAGCACCAACACATGGTGGTGGTGTTACTTCACTCTGAAAAGGAAATTGCGCTTCAACCTTCTTTGTCTGCTCAACTTTTGGAGTGTACATACGTATGCACGTGCATGAATTTGTGTACATTCACATGCATTTCATGAAGAACTTTTCAGTTTATGACAAATATATTAATTATTCCTTACTTATTTCATAGGTCACTTCATATATATGTACGTGACGGTAAATGAAACGAATAAATTTATCCCGTTCAGACGGCATTCATCTTACTGCATTTTACATGCACGTACATGATCATATTTGTATGGGTGCCACGTACATACATGTAGTTCTACAGTGTCAACATTCTCCCTTTACGGACTATTTTCAGGCAGGATGTATCCGTAATGTCGACCAATACCAAGGTATGTAGGTTTAGGGAGTTAGGAAATCATGGTAATTAATTTTAACAGGTTTAATTTGTAAGTTTAATCCACTGATCACTTTGAGACAAAATCATTTTACATAACTTACATAACGTTTCACATAACTGCAATGTTAAACTTTTCAAAATTTTAGTACTTCAAATATTTACAACTTGGATGAAGAAATCGTGAGGTCTATAAAATAAGTTGGTGCAAAATGAGTTAGCTATTACAACAAAAGTAAAACTACAGAGACTTCAGACAGACAGGGCAGGTTAGTTTTCTTTTATATAAGTTGTTCTTCTACCCAACGTACCTCTGGAACAGACCATCAATTAACCCTGAAATATCTAATTTATGTACTTGTTAAGATATTAAGCATTCAGGCAGAATTGAATACATATATAAGGCCTACACACCAGGCTAACTCTTACAAATATATGCAACGCATACACGTCACACAGCCCAAGTGTGAAACTTATATCGGATGGAAGTCTGTTAGTCTGTATGACGTGGTCCGGATCTCTTTTTTATTTTAAATTAAAAAAAACGATGTAAACGAAAATGTAGATTTTATAAAAATGCAAATTCAAATTATTAGTCAAATGAGTTTCAGGTAGAAGTCATTAATATTTTTTAAAAGTACCATTGCCTGTGCAATCCTCGCCAACTCGTGTTACATGCCGCGACGGGCGGATTAAATTCTGCGAGGAAAAACATCAAACCTTTACAATCTTGTTGAAGGGTATTTAATTATCTACATATATATTTGACTAATTGAATATTTAATTTAATGGAAAATTTTACATTAATTAGTGTATTTAATAAGAATATATGTTACTAATTATATATTTGAATTTAAAATTTTGTATTAATAAATCGTTTATGCTCACGGGAGACGATTTTTCATCAGATTTTTTTCCAAAACGTCATCCCCCGTCGTCGAGACAAGTTAAAAATTGGGGGTGGAAATCCGACCGGCAAGAACAATACTCGGAGGAGGGACAGCAGTTAATCCGACTAAAAAAACAGACGTCGTAGATCGCCATGGTTACCAAATTTCAAAGTTTGGATTTATTTTTTAAAAAATATTGTAAATATATGTAATTTTGTAATAAATTAATTAATGTTGTGCTAAAATTGTCAAAATTCTACATTCTTAGAAATTGTGTGAAACGTTTTTAAATATTTTTATTATTATTCTAGACTATTTTGCAAAAAGTTAGAGGCAAGAAAATTTAAAATTCAATGATTTTAATATTTGCGTGTTAAACAATGTGAACTTGTACTGGTTCAAGAGTATGAAAAATGTGTGAAATTTTTACGATTTTTGAGAGCAACTACTGCTGCCGCTGTCTTTGTTTGCATTCGTATTTTCCATAAAAATGTGCACAAATGGATGTAGTTTTCAAGTTCTCATGAAAATGAAGGAGCCACAATGATGCGATAATAAGTAGCTTAATAATCATTAAAAAAACAAGTTTTATTTTATTCGAGTTTCATGCTTTATGTAATTGTAAGAAAAATCCGCACGCTAAATAAAGGTGGGTAAAATTTGGGATAACACAACGTGTTATGAAAAATGTACCGGTCGGATGTTGAAATTTACTCAAGCTTGGTCGAACACTTTACAAAGTTGGGCACATTTTGCTTTGTGTTAAGTAAATTTTAAATAACCGCTTGTGCCATCTCTAATTTTACTCAACCAAGAGTAAATTTAGCTCTAATTTATCCACACTAGGACGATTTAACTTTAAAAGCATTTTATATTTATTTTATGATCCTGCCAAGTTAAATCCCGAAATACGTAACGAAATATTCGGAATGAAAGCAGCGAGATTTTCCATTAGCAGAACACTTTCCTGTATTCGACCCCCTTAACTTACAGCAGTGGTCTAATTGCGAAGCTCTATCCAATTTGTTTGTTTCACACACTGGATGACAGTCTAGAAATTCCTCTGATGTATCTGAAAAAGATACAGTTACGCCAATTAAAATCATGACAAGAGTATCCATTAAATTCAAATTTATTACTGTCCTATGAAAACGTTACTACCGATCGGTAACAAACTTTAACTTAGTGGAATATAGAATAGCATCTTAGCGACTCCGCACGGTAACGATTCGTTGTAAGATTGTTTTCAGCGAATAACATAACCCGATTTTTGATTTTGGTGCTCGCGATAACTCCATACACCAAACTATTTTCAAGTTATCTAAACAGATTCATAAACTGTTTAAATCAATGCTTACCTTATTTTTATTTCTGGCCTATATGGATTTCTTCACTGAAAATGGAATGAAAAGTAGACGATTATTTGATGAAATTAAACTGAATAATAAATAAACTCCCAATGACCGTAAGAAAATATTTTTATCATGTATTATCAAGTTACGTGATTACGTGATTTAAAGATTTTCAACTTACGGTCCTGCGTTTGAATATCTTAAATACTTATTTCGAATTTTCGCTCAGCATTTATAAATTACTATACGTAACTTTACACAATTATAATGCATGCATTCAAACTATGCCCTTCGTCAAAATTCTGACTCACATTGCTCCTACATATCTCCTATGAACAGTATTATAAGTCTCCTCTTTCTGACAAAAACACTACAACAGTAAAATTTTGAATTACAAATTTATAAATTTTTCCGTACAATATGCCAACGCCCTAACTTCTCAAAGCGCTTCGCATCTACTCCACCTACTTTCAGGAACATGTCGAAACAGCCCCAATAATGTGGGATACCTCCACCAAAAAATTCTACTATGTCGATTCTGTAAAAAAGCTATGCTTTTACATATGGAATTTGGCTGGCGTTTTGGCCCTAAGCGCAGTTGGAACGACACTACTGGTCCTTTTTAAAGAAATTGTTGTCAAACAGAAAACCATCCCACGTTTCAATACCTTTGCATTAACATTGCTTGCAGTTCAGGGATTGTCTACTATCGGCATTGGGCTAGGATTTCTCATTTTCGGAAAGGAATTCACACTTGGATGGAACCAACTGAACAAAGTAGAGGGCGAAGTATCCATGCTAAATGGTACCTGGTCTAATTTTGCATGTCATTAATTATGGTTTGTGCACACCAAGATCGAATTCTTCATTTTTTCTTAGATTCATTAGTTTCTTTGACTTACAAGGGACACTATTGACATGGGTGGCGTGTCCAGGGTACCCACTATGGTTCTTAGAATCTACTAGGTCCCTAG